AAGGTTGCCACAGTCTGTCACATTACTTGAACTTGTGTCCTTTTACTTAACACATGTAAATGGTTTAGTAGCCAGGGAGCTCACTGTCTACAAGAATGGTAGACAGTACCGACAAGATGAAGATTTAGACACATGTGCAACATCTAGGTATCTTTATTGTACACGTTTCGCCATCCAGTGGCTTTATCAATACAGATTCTAGGACATAACTTGAAGACTGTAGAAGTATATACAAAAGATGAGGTAATCAGTCCCTCAGTCTTGGAGTTAGTGTGAAGAGCACCGTAGTCTGTGGTTTAGTAGTCTATGGTGTCTATGGTCACCAACACTATCCTTCTGGCCCTGGGTCTCACACAACACCATCCTTCTGGCCCTGGGTCTCACACAACACCATCCTTCTGGCCCTGGGTCTCACACAACACCATCCTTCTGGCCCGGGGTCTCACAGAACACCATCCTTCTGGCCCTGGGTCTCACAGAACACCATCCTTCTGGCCCTGGGTCTCACACAACACCATCCTTCTGGCCCTGGGTCTCACACAACACCATCCTTCTGGCCCGGGGTCTCACAGAACACCATCCTTCTGGCCCGGGGTCTCACAGAACACCATCCTTCTGGCCCTGGGTCTCACACAACACCATCCTTCTGGCCCGGGGTCTCACACAACACCATCCTTCTGGCCCTGGGTCTCACACAACACCATCCTTCTGGCCCTGGGTCTCACACAACACCATCCTTCTGGCCCGGGGTCTCACACAACACCATCCTTCTGGCCCTGGGTCTCACACAACACCATCCTTCTGGCCCTGGGTCTCACACAACACCATCCTTCTGGCCCGGGGTCTCACAGAACACCATCCTTCTGGTCCGGGGTCTCACACAACACCATCCTTCTGGCCCGGGGTCTCACAGAACACCATCCTTCTGGTCCGGGGTCTCACAGAACACCATCCTTCTGGCCCGGGGTCTCACACAAAACAGTTGCGTGCAGTGATGGTGACTTCTTGTTATTCTATGTGTGTGTGTGTGTGTGTAACGGTGTGCTTCTCTCCATCCCACTCTCCCTCCCTCCATCCTTCCCTCCCTCTCTATACGCACACACTCTTGTTATTCCTTATTCCTTCCTTAAAATGGAAACGTCATTAAGTGATTAACGGTGAATAGAATCATACAGTACCTGGATAATGTTGAACAAGATCATACAGTGCCTGGATAATGTTGAACAAGATCATACAGTACCTGGATAATGTTGAACAAGATCATACATTGCCTGGATAATGTTGAACAAGATCATAGTGCCTGGATAATGTTGAACAAGATCATACAGTACCTGGATAATGTTGAACAAGATCATACAGTACCTGGATAATGTTAAACAAGATCATACAGTACCTGGATAATGTTGAACAAAATCATACAGTGCCTGGATAATGTTGAACAAGATCATATGTTGAACAAGATCATACAGTACCTGAATAATTTTGAACAATATCGTACAGTACCTGGATAATGTTGAACAAGATCATACAGTACCTGGATAATGTTGAACAAGATCATACAGTACCTGGATAATGTTGAACAAGATCATACAGTACCTGGATAATGTTGAACAAGATCATATGTTGAACAAGATCATACAGTACCTGAATAATGTTGAACAATATCGTACAGTACCTGGATAATGTTGAACAAGATCATACAGTACCTGGATAATGTTGAACAAGATCATACAGTACCTGGATAATGTTGAACAAGATCATACAGTACCTGGATAATGTTGAACAAGATCATACAGTACCTGGATAATGTTGAACAAGATCATACAGTACCTGGATAATGTTGAACAAGATCATACAGTACCTGGATAATGTTGAACAAGATCATACAGTACCTGGATAATGTTGAACAAGATCATACAGTACCTGGATAATGTTGAACAAGATCATACAGTACCTGGATAATGTTGAACAAGATCATACAGTGCCTGGATAATGTTGAACAAGATCATACAGTACCTGGATAATGTTGAACAAGATCATACAGTACCTGGATAATGTTGAACAAGATCATACAGTGCCTGGATAATGTTGAACAAGATCATACAGTGCCTGGATAATGTTGAACAAGATCATACAGTACCTGGATAATGTTGAACAAGATCATACAGTACCTGGATAATGTTGAACAAGATCATACAGTGCCTGGATAATGTTGAACAAGATCATACAGTACCTGGATAATGTTGAACAAGATCATACAGTACCTGGATAATGTTGAACAAGATCATACAGTACCTGGATAATGTTGAACAAGATCATACAGTACCTGGATAATGTTGAACAAGATCATACAGTGCCTGGATAATGTTGAACAAGATCATACAGTACCTGGATAATGTTGAACAAGATCATACAGTACCTGGATAATGTTGAACAAGATCATACAGTACCTGGATAATTGTAGGTAATTAGGATTAGTTCTAGGAAAGCTTTGTCTTTG